CTACTGCTTTTTGTTCACAGAACAACTTGGAGAAAATGTGCAGGTCTCTGGAAGACCAGATGAATGAATATAAAACAAAATCAGAAGAGGGACAGCGTGCCATCAATGACTTCACCATGCAGAAAGCAAAGCTTCAAACTGAGAACGGTATGCATTAGACCTGAACAGCATATTTTAGTTGTGCCAGTGTGCGGTACTGAATTGAATGTTATGCTTAAATAAGGTGAACTTTTGAGGCAGCTTGAGGAAAAGGATTCTCTGGTGTCTCAACTCACGAGAGGAAAACTGTCGTACACTCAGCAAATTGAAGACCTGAAAAGACAACTGGAGGAAGAAGTCAAGGTAGCAAATAATCATCAGTGTAACCTCATTAGGTAGAGACCATTGGTACACCCAGTGCATAAAGATACACTTTCTTTTAGGCCAAGAACGCATTAGCCCATGCAGTGCAGTCTGCTCGCCATGACTGTGACCTGCTCAGGGAGCAGTATGAGGAGGAGCAGGAGGCTAAAGCTGAACTGCAACGTAGCATGTCCAAGGCCAACTCTGAGGTGGCTCAGTGGAGAACCAAGTATGAAACTGATGCCATCCAGAGGACCGAAGAACTAGAAGAGGCCAAGTAAGCCAAATACACTAAGTCCACTAACTCAGCAAAGGTAAAGAGCGTTTAACCACAAATACATATTTTCATCACCTAGAAAGAAGCTGGCTCAGCGTCTGCAGGAGGCTGAGGAGGCTGTTGAAGCAGTGAATGCTAAATGTTCCTCTCTGGAGAAGACCAAACACAGGCTGCAGAATGAGATTGAAGATCTCATGGTGGATGTAGAGAGGTCTAATGCTGCTGCCGCTGCTCTGGACAAGAAACAAAGAAACTTTGACAAGGTTTTCATCCGGCACTTATTATTTCACTAAAGCGGAAGGTCAATCTTTTATCTAAAATGAAAACTTTCTTGTAGGTCTTGGCAGAGTGGAAACAGAAGTACGAGGAGTCTCAAACAGAGCTGGAGAGCTCTCAGAAAGATGCCAGGTCTCTGAGCACTGAGCTCTTCAAACTGAAGAACTCATATGAAGAATCTCTTGAACATTTGGAGACCATGAAGAGAGAGAACAAGAACTTACAAGGTGACTTAATTACCCATTAAAATCATATATGAACAGTTTGTTCACAGTATAACGGCATTTATTTTTTACAATATGCCCTCAGAGGAAATATCTGACCTCACTGAACAAATTAGCGAAGGTGGAAAGAATATTCATGAGCTTGAGAAGATTCGAAAGCAGTTGGAACAAGAGAAGTCTGAGATACAGACAGCTCTGGAGGAAGCAGAGGTAAGCTGCTGCATACTGGCCTTTTTCAAATTTGAAAGATTTTAGGTTGTGAGTATTAATTCATTACAAGTTATGTAGTCATTGTGTCTAATTTCTATTTGTGACAGGCCACACTGGAGCATGAGGAAGGGAAGATTCTCAGAGCCCAACTTGAGTTTAACCAAGTAAAGGCTGACATTGAGCGCAAGCTAGCTGAGAAAGATGAAGAAATGGAGCAATCGAAAAGAAACCACCAGCGAACTGTGGATACTCTTCAAAGCTCTCTGGAGGCTGAGACTCGGAGCAGGAACGAGGCCCTGCGTCTGAAAAAGAAGATGGAGGGAGACCTCAATGAGATGGAGATCCAGCTAAGCCAGGCTAACAGGCAGGCAGCTGAGGCCCAGAAACAACTTAAGGCCGTCCATGCCCATCTGAAGGTCTGAATAAACAAGCAGTTCTACTTCTTTGAAACAAAAATCAAAACCAAAGTGAAACACCAGTTAAAATTTTGGGGGTTTTTATCTTCAAGGACACTCAACTTCAGCTGGACGACTCTCTGCGAGCCAGTGATGATATGAAGGAAAACATTGTCATTGTTGAGCGACGCAACAACCTTCTTCAGGCTGAAGTGGAGGAGCTGAGAGCAGCTCTGGATCAAACGGAGAGAAGCCGCAAACTTGCAGAGCAAGAGCTGCTGGATGTCAGTGAGAGAGTGCAGCTACTGCACTCACAGGTAAGACTGGAGAAGACTTGATACAGAAACTATCTATTGAAAATATACTCAGGAATTTAAAAAATTATATTTTTCATCTGAACACCAGAACACCAGCCTGATAAACCAAAAGAAGAAGCTGGAGGCTGATACATCCCAGCTTCAAACTGAAGTGGAGGAGGCAGTGCAGGAGTGCAGGAATGCAGAGGAGAAGGCCAAGAAGGCCATCACTGATGCTGCCATGATGGCAGAGGAGCTGAAGAAGGAGCAGGACACCAGCGCTCATCTGGAGCGAATGAAGAAGAACATGGAGCAAACCATCAAAGACCTGCAGCACCGCCTGGATGAAGCTGAGCAGATCGCCATGAAGGGAGGCAAGAAGCAGATTCAGAAGCTCGAGGCCAGGGTAAGTCAAAATCGTGTTAATGAAGTCAAATCGATATAATAAATTACCAAATCATCAAACAAGGAAAATATTTAGTATGTTATAAGTAATCTTTTTGTTCAACAGATCAGAGAATTGGAGAGTGAAGTTGAAGTTGAACAAAGGAAATCAAGTGATGCCGTCAAGGGAATACGAAAATATGAGAGACGGATTAAAGAGCTGACGTATCAGGTATTTTTGAGTCACCTTAGAGAATGAGGGAAGAAACAGTAAAAATTAAATTCATATTTACTTTGACTCAGAGAAATAAAAAAATTTTCTTGTTTGCTTCCAGACAGAAGAGGATCGTAAGAATCTTACCCGTCTGCAAGATCTGGTGGACAAGTTGCAGCTAAAGGTGAAATCCTACAAGAAAGCTGCTGAGGAAGCTGTAAGTAGTCTTTGCATTTACATTTTACACACTAAAAAAGCATTGCACCTGTTCATCATTTCTTCTCGCCTATTAATCACATAGAAATATAGAAAATATACAGCAGGCCATCTTAAGGATATTGTGCTTCTGTTCTACAGGAGGAACAGGCCAACAGTAATCTTACCAAGTTCCGCAAACTTCAACATGAGCTCGATGAAGCTGAGGAGCGAGCTGACATTGCCGAGTCTCAGGTCAACAAGCTGCGCGCCAAAAGCCGTGATGTGGGATCAAAGGTTCGTATGTGTACATGTTAAAAAAAAGTGTTAGTCCGGAATAGTAGGACTCTTAGCATCCTGCTGACAGATCACCAACACAAATTCTAGCTTTTTATCTCAAGGATCATTGACAAAAATAAAAGCGAAAGCATGCATTGTAGTCTTACTGCAGAATCACTGTAGAGTGAGCATTGACTGTTTTCACTTCATTTACAATCCAGCTCTTCTTTTCAAATCAAAAAATGATCACTAATGATCCTCTTTTTCCCCTCTTTCTTGTTTCAGAAAGGACTTGATGAAGAATGAAGTTCACCTTGAAATGATCATTTCTGAGACACCTCTTGGTCCTGCAATGAAGTCTCCCTATGCATGTGTTTTTGTTTAGTAGAATAAAGTTAATGAGCATCTCAAACAGTGTTGTGAGTTTCATTGATAAAAGTGTTTGCTGTTTATACTGGTGAGAACCAAACTTGATTTTACAAAACAAATAAATATAAAATTTGAACCAAACTAGTAGAAAAATAAGATCAAAATTAATTAAAAGGATAGCAACAAAGATAAAGTAAAAGTGTTATGTTTTAAATGTCTATTACTGGTATTAAAGAATGGAATTATAAGGAATGTATCGGTAATTTGACTGAATTTCCCCATAGATATAGTAATATGTAGTTTTCCCTCTCACACTTCTTTCCAATGAAAGGAGGGAGCAAGTTGTCAGTTGTACTTACTGTGATTTCAGACAAAATCACAAAAAGTAATACATTACAATAAAAAAAGCATTATGGTATTCAATATAGTAGAGAATACAAAATTCGAAACCATGGTCACTAAATCAATTTCTTTGAGCTTTTAGAAATAAAAAACGTGTTGCAGAAAACTATGTGTAGCTTATAAATGACAAAGCCGTTCCCATTGGGACTATTATTAATTCATCCATCCATCCATCCATTCGCTTCTCCTTTTCAGGGTCACTGGAGCCTATCCCAGCTGTCATAGGGCGAAAGGCGGGGTACACCCTGGACAGGTCGCCAGTCTGTCGCAGGGCTAACACATAGGGACCTGGAGAGAACCCACGCAAACACAGGGAGAACATGCAAACTCCACACAGAAAGACCCCGGCCTGATGGTGGAATTGAACTCAGGACCTTCTTGCTGTGCGGCAACAGTGCTAACCACCGTGCCACCGTGCTGCCCATTATTAATTCAATTCAATTTTATTTATATAGTGCCAAATCACAACAACAGTCACCTCAAGGCGCTTTATTTTGTAAGGTAGACAACGGTATTATTACTAGGCAGCTTTTATACCTCATTCATCAGAAGTCAGTCAAACATCAAATGACCACCAGATGGCGCTCACAGATCCATAAAGAAGGCAGTTGGAAAAAGGCATGTGAAAGTAATGGAACTTACTCTACATGTTACATGATAAGAAGAGTTTGCTTTGTCATTTTCTTTAGATTTTCAGGCATTTTATATGTTTTATATTTCCCTGTAGCATGACATCTAACATTTTTTTAAATGTTTTTTGGGTGTTCTGGATTTAAATGAGATTAAAATAGGTGACAATGGTATTGAAGAAGACTTTAAAAGAATAATCAGTGACATGTGAAGAGAGGACTGCAGAATTCAGGTTGATTGATTCAAATAAGAAAATAAATCCATTTTTTTTGTATAACACTTACTTAAATGACACTGCCAACTAGAAAATGCAGAAGAATTTTATGAATGTAGTCTTGAACTATTATTATTATTATTACTTTAGGACGCTCCTAAGAACAATATGCTTATGTACAGAACTGTAAATGACACAGTGCTTGATAAGTGAGACATTTCTACTCCACATGCACCCACAATAGATAATTAACAAAACAAGCTCACAGACTACTCTTTTTGCATAAATATGAGCCATCTTCTCACTACTTCTTTCGGGTAGAGAAAACTGGACATCATCCAGAGACACAACCATTTATTTCTGACTATTTCTTTCCATTTTGATATGACTAAAGGCTAACATACTGAAAAACTAAACTACAAAAGAGAAAACTACTAACCTTCACATCAGTAGTAGCGCCCATTCTTTCTTTTAACAAGCACTCTCTTTTTGGAGCCAGACTGGGGAGGGCCATTTGGAGCACAGGATACAAGCAGACTTGACAGACTGGCAGCAGATAATCTGGTCTTGGTGTGTCCTCCAACAGGAAATAGTACATTAACAATATGAGCATATTAGGTCTAAAAGAAATGTTTTCTATTTTTGACATTTCCGCAATCAGGAATGAGAAGTTCTGCATAAAGTAAAACAAAAAGTTGATAATAAAATCTTTAAATGGCCAACATTACCTTTTCAATATTTCATGAGAGGATCTCTTGGTCACTACCTCATCTGAAGACAAGCAGTACTCTGGACTTGATCCCATAGAGAGGTCCATAGTCTGAATGAGTGAGAAGAGGACAAGGGAGGAGAACAATCAACTCCTGTAAGCCTCTGTTAAAGTTCAACACCACTTAGAAGTGACCTTTCACAGTAACATAGGACAAATTCTGCCAATAGCTTTGCTGGATCTAGTTTCACACTTAAGTGAGGCAAGGTGCCTCACACCTTCTTTTGTGTGCTCATGTGATCATAAAAGTCAAAGACACAAAGACCGTGGACAGCTGGGAATGAGACCTTAAATGGCTGGAAGAGTACTCTCCTAGAGCCTGGAATAGACAGAGGATAAGTAAAGGAGAAGGAAATGAGATCTGATAGAAAGTCACATAATTGAGGTTGTAGAAGGGTTTAATTTGTGCCAGACCTTCATCAGACCTTCATCAAACAAACAAACAAACAAACAAAAAAACCAGCAAACAAACAAAGAAAAGAAACTTATGAGAAACTCTGAAAGCTGATTTGCCCTCCTTGTCTTGTTTTAGAGGTTTCATTTGTAACACATACAGGTTTATTTGTTCATGCATTTTGCACTGAACGTAGATTAATTATAGTATATTGCTTTATATAAATGATATATTATCCCACAATACGCTAGCTATAGTATATATAGCATATTGTTATGTTCCCTTATCACCTGTTGCTGCTGGTCAAAGAAGAAATACAAACCAATCTCAACTACTTGCGTCACAAGCTGTCCCCAAGCTATACTCTGAACCGCCAAGCCCTCAAAGGCAGCCAACAGGAATTTCACAAGTTATCTTTGTGCTCAAGGATAAAGGGAAGAAAACAATTCCATGTCAACAGAAGCCAGCCAAGGGCACTAGCTGCATGTCACATCTGATAGCAGGTTGAAGTATATAGCTACATAGTCAGGGGTCATTTGTGCCCTCTCGTCTTTTGTTCTAGTGGCAAAAGGTCATTTATTTAATAGAAAACTAAATGAAATAAAAGGTTTGCTTCATCTGGAGAAAGACAAAAATAATTTGCATTCTTGTGAGAAGAGTTATGACCTCTAAAATTAAGAACACTTTGCATGTAGAGCTCTTAATTTATGTTGGGCTAAAACTTTTTGCAAAATGAATAAATCAATACAAAAATGAAATTAAACGTTCACATCTGTGTGTATTTCCTTATATCTCTGTCTCTTTATCATAGAGACAGAGTTGAAACACAATATGAATAATTTTACAACAACAATAATAATAATATAACAACAATAACCAACAAAGTCCAGCATCAGGAAAACTCCCACGGCTCTTCCACCAGAAATCATATTCTCTATTAAAACTGTGTAGAGGAAAGGGGAAGGCAAAGTTATTTGTAAGACCCAAGAGATGTACATGCAAGTACAACAAATACCCATGTTACATACTATTGTGCTATTGATCTGCTGAACGGACCAAGATTTTTCTTCTCTGTTCAAATCAAATCAAATCAAATCAAATCACTTTTATTGTCACATCACATGTGCAGGTACATTGGTACAGCACAGCTGATGACGAGTTACAGTAACATAGAACATACACACATGTATTACACGTGACACACTATTAGGGAGCTCATGCTCATGCACCTTGATCAATTAAATATGACTTACTGCAAATTTTAGCATAGCAACACAATTATACTACTCATATTGCTGAGTGAAGACCCCACAAACACAACACATGAAAGTTGCAGTGAACCATTCATATGGTTGCTTAAACTGCAGAAAGATAACGGATCTAAATGAAGAATCATATTACAGATGCTCTTTAGTAAAATAGAGGAGTTATAATTTTGTTAATATTAATTTGGTACAAAACTTACAGCCCTTTGATTCCCTTTTTTCATGAAACATGAACTTGGGTTGGATTGCATTGCATCTGAACACATCTATTGTTGGTAAAGAAAAGTAAAGAATGCAGAGTGACCAGGGTTAGACTAAGGGTGTCGATCTAATTGAGAACAGTGGTGAGTGATAACAAAGGGACTTCACAGCTGCGACCTTGGCCTTGTCTTGCCTCTCTGTAGACAACAGCTGCTCTTTATTCTTCCTCTTGAAATGTATTTTACACCCTATTGCTTTACAGACTATTGTTGAACTTTAGATGTCAAGATGCTTAAAGTGACACAAATCCTAGCCTACTGTATTCATACGTTGAACAGACGACAGAGTGCAAAAGCCTATGACATGGTGGCTCTACCTTCTAATTAACAAATATCCTTTTTTTTTTTCATCCCAAAAAAAAAATCGGCCTAATTATTGTTCCCTAAAATAGAAACCCTGGTTAACATATCTGAATCTCTATCTCATGGTGTTTTGGCTTACCATTTGTTTTAAACCTACTTACAAATAATTAATTAGATACTGATACTTAGAATTAGACAGACGATTAGATAGATAGATAGATAGATAGATAGATAGATAGATAGATAGACAGACAGACAGACAGACAGACAGACAGACAGACAGACAGACAGACAGACAGACAGACTACCATCTGCCCTAGACTCCCCCACCTCCTCCTTCACCCTTCTTTGTCATGCCCATGTGGGTGCATTACTCTGTTGCTCACAAGGTGAGAGCAGCAAATAGCTGCTCCAGGCTCTACCCAATTTGGAGAATCCTTCTTGTGATAGACAACCTGGATGCCATTTCTCTGATATTCATTCCCATATTTGGTTGACCTACAACCTTTATTAATGGAGAGGTAGCCTGGTCAGCCACTGGATCAGTCATTTCTCTTAAGGTTGACAGTCAGAGGTAAGAGAACACCCACGCAGGTATAAAAGTTTTAATTATATTAAAATTTCTGCTGCTAGCTATATTTTGTAATAGGTTAGCAATTGATTTGAGTGACAGGACTCCTGTTTCTGTGAACCTTGCTGTCAAATGTCTAATGAATTTGTGATGTTATATGTGATCTTTGGTTCCTTTCTGTGTGCTTCATATGAATAGCACAAATCGTTACTTCCTGTGGAGTGAAACGCCTTAGGTAAAATTTAAAGCTACACTTCTTGAATTTCTGAATCAGTTAACTTAAATGCATTTTTATATTGGTGCATGTGTGTGTCAGAAAAGAATGGGCATTTTTTGCGATTATGTCTGTTTGGGGTTGCTGGTCTTAAATACCCAAACACCTCAAACACCTTTAGTAGTTGTGTCTCATGCAAAGACCTGCTGCATAACACGTTAATTTGAGCCTTCTGCATACTAAAAGTTACCGGAAATGCTTGATATACAAGAATATAAATATTTTTTGTTGTTTTTAGAAATTCTTTTACTGTCTCTGTTACTAAACCTGCTTTGTGTGCATTTTTCCTGGGTCTTACATGAATTTGGTTAATCGTCAATGAATGATTCTAGACTTGCATTCATTGTTAAGACTACGTTCTTTTAAAGGTTGAAAAATGGGGGATGCTGCCATGAAAGAGTTTGGGGCGGCGGCTCCTTACCTGAGAAAGTCAGATAAGGAGCGTCTGGAGGCCCAGACTCGCCCATTTGACATGAAAAAACAGTGTTTCGTTCCTGACCCTGAAGTTGAGTACGTTAAAGCAACAGTCACTAGCCGCGATGGCGACAAAGCCACCGTCGACACTGAATTTGGAAAGGTATATTCATCATATCAGTTCCATTCAAATGTATTTTAGTTTTTAGCTTTGTGCAATACCTGGTACTTCTTTTTGCAGACCGTCACAGTGAAGGATTGCGATGTGCACCCTCAGAACCCGCCAAAGTTCGATAAAATTGAAGACATGGCGATGTTCACCTTCCTCCATGAACCAGCTGTGCTGTTTAACCTCAAAGAGCGTTACGCAGCGTGGATGATCTACGTGAGCTGACAGCACAACACACTAACTGCCCTCCCACAAATTCTACATATTTGACACTTTGCTCTCCTCTTTTCACCAACTATCAGACCTACTCTGGGTTGTTCTGTGTGACTGTCAATCCCTACAAGTGGCTGCCAGTCTACAATCAGGAGGTGGTCGCTGCCTACAGAGGAAAGAAGAGGAGTGAAGCTCCTCCTCATATCTTCTCCATCTCTGACAATGCCTACCAGTACATGCTGGCAGGTACAAATATCCCTTTTAGCATTCATCTTGAATGACATTTTGTTTGGACATCGTCACATTTTCCCTGATTTTCTGATATTCTCCTGCTGACAGACAGAGAAAACCAGTCAATCCTTATCACGTAAGTAACTTTACCAACAAGGGTCTTTTTTCAGCAGTTAAGAGTTATACTTCTTGGTCTTGAAATGTATGTCTTTTTCTACTCAGTGGAGAATCTGGAGCTGGAAAGACTGTCAACACCAAGCGTGTCATTCAGTACTTTGCCAGCATTGCTGCTGTCCCAAGTGGGAAGAAAGATTCAGCTGCAGAGAAGAAGGTTCTTACGAGACAAGATTTTCTTAATGTTCGACAAACAAAATATAGTCATAATATTGCTGTTTTTCAAGGTTCTTTTTTGTTTAACTAAATCAGGGAACCCTTGAAGATCAAATCATCCAGGCTAACCCTGCTCTAGAGGCCTTTGGCAATGCCAAGACCATCAGGAATGACAACTCCTCCAGATTTGTGAGTGTCTGTATCTGGCTGATGTCAGACTACTTGTTTACATTCATAAATGAAGTTACTTCTTATTCCAAAAATACAAGTGAACACACATTTCCCTCCCAGGGTAAATTCATCCGTATTCATTTTGACAACCGAGGAAAGCTGGCCTCGGCTGACATCGAGACCTGTAAGTAAAATTAAGATAATCCATGTATCCATTTTCTGAGCCATTTTTGTTTGGTTGGAGGCCTCTGCAAATATGAACCAAGAGTGCTTTAACCATGCAAAGCCTGTTTAAAACTGGAGTATTATTTCATAATTAAACATTTGAAAAACTCTATTAAATTTGTTACTGTGTGTCACACTTTCATACCATTTATAATAACTCATTCAGACCTTTTGGAAAAGTCTCGTGTGACCTTCCAGCTCAAAGCTGAGAGGGACTACCACATTTTCTACCAGATCCTGTCTCAGATAAAGCCTGAACTTCTAGGTAAGGATGAGTACAGGACAGGTGTTTGATTTGTACTCAATCATACATTTCATAGTGAAATAAACATTTTCTATTTAATTTTAGAGATGCTGCTCATCACCAACAACCCTTATGACTACGCCTTCATCTCCCAAGGAGAGACAACAGTAGCCTCTATCAATGATTCTGAAGAGTTGATGGCCACTGATGTGAGTTGAATCTCAGATTCACTGCAGCAATTTTAGTCCAAAATTCATTTAATAAAACAAAAAAGAAAATAGTAAAATTAATGTTTTTGATTTTCGTCAGGAAGCCTTTGATGTTCTGGGCTTCACTCAAGAAGAGAAGAACAGTATTTACAAGCTTACTGGTGCAATCATGCACTATGGCAACATGAAGTTTAAACAGAAGCAGAGAGAAGAGCAGGCAGAGGCTGATGGTACTGAAGGTGAGAAATATAATTATAACATAATAGATGATATTCAAATAACTAGGCACTCTGACGCCTGACTAATGCCAGACCTGTTGAATCAAGGAATCACTTAAATAGAAGCTAAATGGAACCTAACAAAGTGAAGGATACAACAATGTAAAAAAAAACCTCTACAACAGACAACATCTATCAGTCTGCAAAGGGTTAAAAATCAATTTCTTAGGCTTTGGAACTGCAAGAAGCCATGGTGAGAGCCACTATCCACCAGAAAAACAGACAGCTCTGGGGGAGAACAGTTAAAGTACAATTTAAAGTAAAAAAAATACTGAATGTGAATGGATGATGTTATTTTTGTCAGAACATGTGCATGTGTACATGTGTAAACTGTGCAAAATAAAATATGCAAAAAATGTATCACTGTCACTATTTCTCAGATGCTGACAAAGTTGCATATCTGATGGGCCTGAACTCTGCTGACCTCATCAAAGGTCTCTGTCACCCAAGAGTCAAAGTAGGAAACGAGTGGGTCACCAAAGGACAGAATGTCGCCCAGGTACAGAGTTAAAGGGAATTTTGTCAGGCTTTGATTTAATGAAAACGCACCATTTATTTTGAATCACATATTTCCGTTCTAAGGTGTACTACGCTATCGGTGCACTGGCTAAGTCAGTATATGAGAAGATGTTTCTGTGGATGGTGGTGAGAATCAACCAGTCCCTGGACACCAAACAGCCTCGCCAGTATTTTATTGGGGTGCTTGACATTGCTGGATTTGAGATCTTTGATGTGAGTTTGGAAAAATAAGTTCTTATAATCTTATAAATGGTTGTCCCTAATGTAAGGATGCATTTTAAATCATGAACATACTGTGGTCCATTTCATTTCAGTTCAGTTCAACACCTTTGAGCAGATGTGCATCAACTTCACCAACGAAAAACTGCAACAATTTTTCAACCACCACATGTTTGTACTGGAGCAGGAAGAGTACAAGAAAGAGGGCATCGAATGGAAGTTCATTGACTTTGGCATGGATCTGCAGGCCTGTATCGACCTGATTGAAAAGGTGAAACACTGTACAATTACATGTTCAGCTAAAACTAATGCAAATATAGTCCTTAACAAACACTTATACTTTCTGTCCTTTAGCCCATGGGTATCATGTCCATCCTTGAAGAGGAGTGCATGTTCCCCAAAGCCAGTGATGCCACCTTTAAAGCTAAGCTCTATGACAACCACCTGGGAAAATCTAACAATTTCCAGAAGCCCAGAGTTGTCAAAGGAAAACCAGAGGCTCATTTTTCCCTTGTGCACTACGCTGGAACTGTTGATTACAATATCAACAACTGGTTGGTGAAGAACAAGGATCCTCTGAATGAGACTGTTGTTGGTCTTTTCCAGAAGTCTAACCTTAAGCTTTTAGGCTTGCTTTTTGCTGGATATGCAGGAGCTGATTCAGGTATTTTGACATCCCATAGTGAAAATTAGAAGTCAATAATAATTTCCAACAACAACAGTATTGTAATCAATTTTTCTACAGATTTGAAATGCCTTAAAAATCTGTTGTGATCTGTTGGTTCTCTCAATAAAGTTCGACATTAATTTTTTTTAGCTCAGGAAGGTGGGAAGGGCAAAGGTGGAACCAAGAAGAAAGGTTCTTCCTTCCAAACTGTATCAGCTTTGCACAGGGTGAGATATGTATACATTTTTATTTTTTAATGTAAAGGAGAGATTGTACTGAGTTATACATCATGACTTCAGCAAGAATTTCTCATTAGTTTGATAGAGGTTCAAAACTTTGTTCTGATTTGCCCAGATGTGAAGTTATAGACACTGAAATTAACCAGGCGACACAAACCCTTTATGAGCTGCATTAGAAAGGTCAACAATCTGACTAAAATTGACTATGGCAACTACTTTGTAAACACCCAAAAGGAAACTTACGTACTTACTGTACTTGGTGTCAAAAGCAATAGCAACAATTTACATATGAAAAACTTTCAGGAGAACCTGAACAAGCTGATGACCAACTTGAGGTCAACTCACCCTCACTTTGTACGCTGCATCATCCCCAACGAGACCAAGACTCCAGGGGCCATGGAGAACCCTCTGGTGATGCACCAGCTGCGCTGTAACGGTGTGCTGGAAGGCATCAGGATCTGCAGAAAGGGTTTCCCCAACAGGATCCTCTATGGAGATTTCAAGCAGAGGTTTAAGTTCTCTTAAAACAAATGCATATTAGTATCAATCCATCCATATTAGTAAGTACTTGAAAAGAAACAACTCTTTCATCTGTTGTTTTTCTAACAAAGGTACCGTATTTTGAACCCTAACGCCATTCCCGAGGGACAGTTCATTGACAACAAGAAGGCTGCTGAAAAACTTTTGGGTTCTTTAGATTTAGACCACAACCAGTACAAACTGGGACACACCAAGGTCAGTATTTGCATGCTTATAGAATACTTTGAACAGAAACAAGCTGTTACTGACTCTGCTATGTGTTGCTGTAAAAGGTGTTTTTCAAGGCTGGGTTGTTGGGCCAGCTAGAGGAGATGAGAGATGACAGATTAGCCCTAATCATCACTGGCATCCAAGCTCGATCAAGAGGCCTTCTGGCAAGAGTTGAATTCCAGAAGATTGTTGAACGCAGGTAACTTATCAAAGCTTGGTCAAATTCTGTTAGCCAACTCAGTTTATGTTGTGCAGCACAATGTCAAAACAGATTTGCATCATTAAAATTTATCATCTGTCCAGTATACAAGACATATTTTCCACTGAACCATATTTTATCACCGAACAAAATATCAAAATGCAATATGTTCATGGACTTATGGACACAAAATACGGCAACTGTCATTAGATACATGCATAGGAGAATGTTGTGAGGGTTTGGTAAAATACATTAAAAACATATTTTTAATGAAGGATTAACGGTGGGTGGAGTTTTACAAA